AAAAACAGCATGGTACTGGCACAAAAACAGACATGAAGACCAGTGGAACAGAATAGAGGACCAGATATGAAGCCACACAACTATAACAACTTGTCTTTGACAAAGGAGCTAAAAATATACGATGGAGAAATAGCAGCCTCTTCAACAAAAACTGCTGGGAAAACTGGTTAGCAGTCTGCAAAAAACTGAAACTAGATCCATGTATATCACCCTATACCAATATTAACTCAAAATGGATCAAGGATCTTAATATCAGACCCAAACTCTAAAGTTGATACAGGAAAGAGTAGGAAATACTCTGGAGTTAGTAGGTATAGGTAAGAACTTTCTCAATGAAACCCCAGCAGCACAGCAACTAAGAGATAGCATAGATAAATGGGACTCATAAAACTAAAAAGCTTCTGTTCATCAAAAGAAATGGTCTCTAAACTGAAGAGAACACCACAGAGTGGGAGAAAATATTTGCCAGCTACACATCAGACAAAGGACTGATAACCAGAATATATAGGGAACTTAAAAAACTAAATTCTCCCAAAACTAATGAACCAATAAAGAAATGGGCAAGTGAACTAAACAGAACTTTCTCAAAAGAAGAATTCAAATGGCCAAAAACACATGAAAAAATGCTCACCATCTCTAGCAATAAAGGAAATGCAAATTAAAACCACACTAAGATTCCACCTCACCCCTGTTAGAATAGCCATCATCAGCAACACCACCAACAACAGGAGTTGGTGAGGATGCGGGGAAAAAGGAACCCTTTTACACTGTTGGTGGGAATGTAGACTAGTACAACTCTGGAAAAAAATTTGGAGGCTACTTAAAAAGCTAGACATCGATCTACCATTTGATCCAGCAATACCATTCTTGGGGATATACCCAAAAGACCGTGACACAGGTTACTCCAGAGGCACCTGCACATCCATGTTTATTGGCACTATTCACAATAGCCAAGTTATGGAAACAGCCAAGATGCCCCAGCACTGACGAATGGATTAAGAAAATGTGGTATCTATACACAATGGAAATTTATGCAGCCATGAAGAAGAACGAAATGTTATCATTCGCTGGTAAATGGATGGAATTGCAGAACATCATTCTGAGTGAGGTTAGCCTGGCCCAAAAGACCAAAAATCGTATGTTCTCCCTCATATGTGGACATTAGATCAAGGGCAAACAGAACAAGGGATTGGACTTGAGCACATGATAAAAGCGAGAGCACACAAGGGAGGGGTGAGGATAGGTAAGACACCTAAAAAACCAGATAGCATTTGTTGCCCTCAACGCAGAGAAACTAAAGCAGATACCTTAAAAGCAATTGAGGCCAATAGCAGAAGGGGACCAAGAACTAGAGAAAAGGTTAGATCAAAAAGAATTAACCTAGAAGGTAACACACATGCACAGGAAATCAATGTGAGTCAATGCCCTGTGTAGCTATCCTTATCTCAACCATCACAAACCCTTGTTCCTTCCTATTATTGCTTATATTCTCTCTACAACAAAATTAGAAATAAGGGCAAAATAGTTTCTGCTGGGTATCGAGGGGGTGGGGGGGAGAGGGAGGGAGTGGAGTGGTTGGTAAGGGAGGGGGTGGGGCAGGGGGGGAGAAATGATCCAAGCACTGTATGCACATATGAATAATAAAAAAAATTAAAAGAAAAAAGAACACTATTAGAACTTATGCATGAATTCAGCAAAGTTGCAGAACACAAAATTACCCACAAACATGAGCAGTACTACCATCGCTAACAATGAGCAGCATGAAAGGGAAAATGAGGAAGCAATTGCATTTATCATAGCATCAACAAGAATAAAACACTTACAAATAAACTTTAAGGAAAGATTCAAGCATTAAAGACTACAAAAAATGCTGTAGAAAATTAAAGAAAGTCTAGTGGCTGAAGGCACCTGTGTTAACATGTCAGCCATACCTAAGGTGAGCTACAGACCCAGTGCAATCCCTGTCAAATTTCAATGTCCTTTGTTTGGAGAAATAGAAAAGTGTCCTGAAACTCATATGGACTCTCAAGGAACTCAAATAGCCCAAACAACCTTGAAAAGGTAAAGCAGAGATTCAGGTCTCTGAGTTAATTCCCCGAGTTAATATTACAAAGATTTAATAAACGAAATGGTGTGGAATTAACATAAGGACAGACATGTTGACCAATGGAATAGAATAGCGAGCCCAGAAATAGGCCCTCACATATACGATCAAGTGTTCTTTCACAAAGTTGCCAATGCCGCCCAATGGGGAAAAGAATCTTTTCAGAAAAGGGTGTTGCAGGGAGAGGATATTAATGTGCAAAATGAACTTGGACCCTTTCCTTATACCATATACAAAATTTCCCCAATGGGTAAAATACCTAAACATAAGATCTAACATTCTAAATCTCCTAGGGAAAAACATAAGTGGAAGCTTCATGGTACTGAATTTAGCAATAATTTTTTAGATTTGATACCGAAACATAAGCAACACAAGTAGGCTTTGACAAAGGAATCAGAGCAAATATAAAATCTTTTGTTCCTTAAAAGTCACAATCAATACAGTGAAAAGGCAGCTTACAAAATGGGAGGGGGGATATTTGCAAATCATATATTTGATATTTGACATCCAGAATATATAAAGAATTCCTCCTACAACCCAATAACAAACCAACAACCAAATAAGCCAGTCCCTCAAATAAACCAGCTGAAAACTGGGCAAAGGACTTGAGTAGACCTTTCTCCAACTATGACACATGAATAGCAACCAACATATAAAAGATGCTCGCATCACTGATTATTTGAATAATGCAATCAAAACCACAAGGAAATCCTATATCATACCTATTATAAAGGCAATGGATGATAGCCAAAAAGAACAGGAAGCAACAAGTGTTGGTCAGGAAGTGGAGAAATGGAAGTACGCTGAGCCGTGGTCAGTGGAACTGTGCAATGGTGCAGCTGCTACTGAAGAGTGTAGAGGTTCTTTAAAAATTAAGCAATAATCACTATGTAATCCAGCAGTTCCACAATTCCACATCTGAGTATATGAAAGCAGGACCATGAAGAGGTACTTGCACCCGTGTGTTCAGAGCAGCACTGTTCACAATAGCCAAAAGGTGGAAGCAAGCCAGTGTCCACCACTGGATGACTGGTGAAACCAAAATGTGATCTGTGCATTCAATAAGGTCATTCTCAGCACTGAAAGGAAGGAAATACTGTCACATGCTACCCTGTGAATGAACTTTGAGTACATTATGCTGTGCAATAGCAGGAAACAAAAACAGGCATTGTACAATCGCACTTCTGTGAGATACTTAGAGTAGTCCAATTCACAGGAACAGAAGGTAGAGCAGAGCTTTCCAGGTGTTGGGGTGGCTCAGAGGTTGGGAGTTAGTGCTTTACACGGACAGAGTTTCAGTTTTGCAAGGTGGAAAATTCTGGAGAGTATATTTAAAACCATTGAACTATGTACTTAGAAATGATTGTGAAGGTAAAAGAATATTGTGTTTTCTATTCAATTTTTTTAATTAAAAAGATAATAAAGAATTAGAATAAAAACTAAAATATGGTTCTTGAATTTTGATGAATTTGCCCTCCATGAAACCTCATTAACAAAGCAGAGTTATGCCAGTATACTTTGGAGCTCAGTGACAAATAAATAATAATTCCAAATATGTAATTTGCCAGTAATATGGGCTGAGTTCCTGCCATGCAGCTGTAGCATCAGGAAACCAGCATCTATGATGATACACCAAAAACAAAGCACTTCTCACCCAGGCAGTGATGGCCACAGCACCTTAATGTACAGAGGGGAAAATAGGTGGTAGTTTTCTGGACATTTTCCCCCAGACTCTTGGAGAATTTCTGTTCCTCCTAATGTCAGACCAGCTTCACTGATTAATACGACATCAGGATTAATCTCTTATACTTAGATGTTCTTTGTTTACTGTTTGTACCACTAAATTCTACAGAGATAAGATAAATCTGCCCTATGTCAGATCAACAAACACAAAAGATTGTGTTAATTTTTTTCTTTTCTAACCTTGTGTTAATATGGTAGAAGTCATATAGGTGTATCCCAATCCAAGACCCTTAATAAAGCCAAGTGTGGAGGAAGGAGTGTAGAAGGGTCAGGAAGGGAATGAAGGGGAAGAACACGAGGAGTCACTATGAACATCACGGCCTGCGGTTAGATGCTTTGTTGTTTTTTTAAATCGTGTGTGATGGTAGTTTTCCTTCTGTTGCTGCATGACAGGAACTCAGTCCCTTCCTATTGGCTGATTACATTACTGTTAGCTAGTTACTTAACTGCACGGAGTATCCGGCATAACTGTTTACATTAGTGAGGTTGAGTGGAGGGCAAATTCATTAAAATCCAAGGACCACGTCTTAGTTTTGATTCTCATTCTCTGCTATCATTTTAGTTTTTAGAAATTACTTGAATGAAAAACTCAACATCCTGGGAGCATCTAAAGCCAGTCAGCAGGTGCACTGCTCAGCACCATGGACAGAGGGAAGGCAGGAAACAGGTGAACAAAGAAGTCTTCAGAGCTCTCCTACTTTAGCCAGGGGACTCCTGCCATTGTAAAGATGGCCTGTAAAGATCCCAGTCTAAGACATGCAAGATGAATTTCTCAGCCACATTGACTTTAGAATCAGTGATGACAGAAAGGAGTGAGCCATAGAGAGGGTCGAAGGCTTGACCTTCACCAGGAGATGTTGACCTTGGCTTCCCTCTGCTCACTGTTCCATCACAATGCACAGACAGGATTTGGGTTTGCTCCTGGTCTGAACCACTAGTTTTCTAGTGACAAAGAACATGTACAATTTACATTTAACAAGTGCCTGAACACGATATGCTATCAAGGAGGATTGCGTGAAGCCAGAAAGCAAGAGAGCAAGAAGCCAGGAAGACAAGCAAGCCAGAAAACAAGATCGGCAGACAGGACAACAAAACACACACTGTCTCCTTTGGAGCCTTTCCATGAATGAACCTGACACCATCCCTCACTGGCCACCCTCCTTTACATGGCTGTGTGTCTCTGTCCCAGCCTCCTCAGCGCGTCCTTCACATCCTTGTTCCGCAGACTGTAGATGAGGGGGTTGAGCATTGGGATGACCAGGGTGTAGAAGACGGAGACAACCTTGCCCTGCTCCATGGACTCCACAGCTCCTGGCTGAGCATACATGACAAACACAGTCCCATAAAACAAGGACACAGCTGTCATGTGGGAGCCACAGGTGGAGAAGACCTTGTGTCGTCCCAACCCTGACCTCATCCTGAGGATGGTCACTGTGATGTAGCCATAGGAAACCAGGACAGCTAATGTGGTGCTCACAATGATGAAACCACAGAGACCGAATAGGAGAAGCTCATTGACAGCCGTGTTGGCACAGGCCAGCTGGAGCAGGGGGGGCACATCACAGAAGAAGTGGTCGATGTGGTTGTTGCTGCAGAAGGGCAGCTGGAATGTGAGGCTGGTCTGCACGATGGAGTTGAGGCAGCCTCCACAGTAGGTGCTCAGCACCAGGTGGGCACATGTTGCAGGGCACATGGCCACAGGGTACCGCAGGGGACTACAGATGGCCATGAAGCGGTCATAGGCCATCACAGCCAGAAGGAAGGCCTCAGTGGTAGCCAACAATGAGAAGAAAAACAATTGGGTGGCACAGCCCACAAAGCTGATGACCTTGGAAGAGGAGAAGAAGTTGACTATGGCATTGGGGGCAATGACAGATGAGTAGCAGAGGTCGAGGAAGGACAGGTTCCTGAGGAAGAAGTACATGGGGGAGTGCAGGCGGGCATCCAGGGTGATGACCACGATCATGGTGAGGTTGCCCAGGATGGTCACCATATACAGGGCCAGGAAGACAGCAAAGAGCAGGGCCTGGGTCTCCACACCTCCCCTGAACCCATCCAGCACAAACTCCCACAAGGGCAGTGATGACAGGTTTCCATTTGTGTGGACTGGCATGGCCCTGAGCTGGAACAGCTGGAGAGAGGTGGTAGGGGCAGACAGAGGGCACAGGTCACAGTCCCGTGGCCATAGGTTCCATGGAGCACAATAACATCAGGTGCCTCACTGCCCAATGAACATAAGGCCACCAGGTTCCCTGCTCTTCCAGATGATCTCATCCTGGTCTGAAAGGGGACATTTCCTCTGGTTTACTGAATTTCTGAGCATGAGCTGAGCCCTCCCTGTGTAGGAAACTGAGCTGTGTTCTGGGGAATGCAGAGGTGTCCAGAGCTGAGTGGCTTTCAGTGTACAGTGTCCCTGTGCCTGCCTGAGAGACACCTGCTCTCCCACCCCCAGGCATGCTTCTGAGCACACCATTGGCAGACATGGCTCTTGTGTCCCATTTTGCACTTCCTAGGTCTCACCTTACTCACTCACTGATTCAAGAAATGGTCCTGAGCACCTCCTACTGCTCCCAGGTCTTGGGACCCATGATCACATCATCTCCAGGCTGGGCACAGCGCAAGGATGAGCCTTCAACAGGCTGACATGGTGCTTCTGTCATTACCTCTTGCAGAATGTAGTCACCATGGCATCTCTGACCGAGTCTGGAACATGGCGGCCTTCTATAAGCTGAGTTCTCTGCCTTCTCATGGATGGCAAAGGCTTCCTGGTAATGTCCAGGTGTTGGGCAGATTGAGGGGAAGGTTAACTCAGACCCAGGTGCTGAGAGACAGCCGGTCAAGGACTGTGGCACATTCAGGAGGTACACACGACCTCTACCCTGTTCTCACTGCCAGATCTGTCTACTACACACCATGTTTGAGGGATTTAAAAGGTTTTGCTATTTGGAAACCAGACTGAGTTGATCTTGGGCTAGTGCCCTCTGGCCATTGCTGATACAGACAACACAGAAGTATCCAGTAGGGGCCTGTCCCTCTGTTAGTCACCAGGAGAGGTACAGAAGGCTATGGTGCTGGGAAGCCTGTATGGAGAGGGTTGGGGTCTGCTCTGCATCCTCCTGGGCTGGGTCAGGCCAGGATGCTGAAACGGATCCCCGTTCCTGGTTCATGTTCCCATCGTGAGGACATGATGGCTACAGGAGACTGTCTCCACCACCAGGCACCCAGTAGGAGGCTTTCCCACTGTGAGCTTCTAGGCTCACAATGGCTTTGTGCAAACAGTCTTGGAAATTCCTCCACAAACCCATTGGGGATTACTGTACTGACCACTGACGTTTCCTTTACAAAAAGCCTAATATAGCTGGAAATGTCCATCCCCACGGTCAGTTCCTTTGCCTCATGTTGAAGGACGAGCAACATGGACCTCTGCAGCTTTCTGATGATGCAGGTCATCCATGGGCATCAATGGAATGAGCAGCTGGCCGTGGGTGAGGCAGGTGCCCTGTTACATTTAGCATGGTGACAGTGATTGTGATATGGCTGCCTGTGCTCCCCTCGGTTCTGTCCCTCTTGTGGACAGTGTGGTCTTGAGCCAGCCACATCACCATCAACTGCTGTCTGCTTCAATCTGCAGAGCTGAGCCCATTCGCCTGCAGATCAGAGGTGTGTTTAACCAGGGGCCCCAGGATTGGTATTGGGTAGAGGCTCTCTGCACTACTCATGCAGACCTGAGTCAAGACCAGAACAGGACAGGACAGGACAGAAGAGGGTCAGTGCCTCACCTGCTTTGACAAGCTCTTTGTATCACTGTATGTACATTCCTGCTGACCCTTTGCTCATGGTCTCTTTCTACCCCTGGCAGCCCTGAAAGGTGGTGCATTGACCTTACCTTTTCCAGGTGATGGTCAGGACTTGCCCGAGGCTATCAGCCAGCACTTGCTCTTCCAGGTTCCCCGTGCTGTTGAGCCTGATGTGTGCTGAAGATGGTGAGGTGGACACTGAGGAAATCTGCCCTCCTGCTGTTCAGCTCTGACTTCTGAGCAGTGCAGTGAGGCAGGCAGGATCAGGAGTGGGAACCTGGCATCTGGGGGGCAGGTTCTGGGTACAGTAACTCCTGGGTTTTGTGAAGAGGGAGGACTGAGTTCTCTTACCTTTCCACCATTCCTGCCTCGATCAGCCAGGCAGTGTGTAGATTTGGGGTAACTGCTGGGGAGATTCTCTGCAACTGGCAAAGCTGGGGTGCCTGGCAAGTTAGGATGGCATTGGACTTCTGCAGTGACTAGGACTCCAGGTCCCCAGTCCCCAGAAGCTGTGGAGCTGTGCCAATGTTTTCCTCCTCATCTCATCCCAGTGGGTTAGAGAAAGCCTACATTCCTCAGGAACCACTGGAGGGACTGTCAGGAGACCTTGCACTCAGTGTTCCTCATTAGAGCAGTCACCCCAGGAGGGGCAGTGTGACCTCCTAAGCACAGAATCCCCCCTCCTGCACCACCCTAGATGTGTTGGTGTGAGGAAGATGCTGTGGGGAAGCCTGCTCGGAGCAGCAAGAGGGCCAGTTCCCCATGACCACGACTCTGTGTGCCCAGGATGCTGACCCTATAGGCCATTAGGACATTGGACTAGATGACCTTTCAATTCCCTTTCTAGAATTTTGTTTCTTGCCAGAATGTTTAACACATGCTGTCTCTGTCTGTGTCTCTGTCTCTCTGAAAATAAAAACAAATTCATATTTGAAAATGCAAGCCAGTTATCAGTGACCCAATCATAAGAGATACCCTTCACTTTAACCCGTAACTCCTATCCTCTCCTTCCTCAGCAGTTACACACACTTGTGTGTCTGCATGGCTCAGAACTTCTCAGTGCTTTGTGCAACTGGGTCACAACACCATCAGTACTGCAGCTGGGATTTTCACTTTACAACATGTTTACAGTGGTCAGTGTGTGGAGACAAATGCCTTCACCAGGTCCTTCCCTGTGGGTAAGGTGTTCACTACTTTTCATCCTATGACAGTCCAGTCCAGTCCTCCCCATTCTTAACATAATGTCATCTATGCATATTGTCTGCCTCTGCTAACATTTTTGCAGTCTAGAGTCCTACATGTAACATCACGAGTGTAATGTAGATAGCTGGCTTTATTTTGGTAAATTTTGTGCATTCGTTGCCAGAAAGATTTAATTTATTTCCTGCCAGTTGCACACAGGGAATGGATTACTGTCCTTCTCATCAAGACTGAACGCTGTCAGTCTTCCTCAAACTGACACATGGTGGACAAGCAGGGTCTAATCATAACAAGCACACCTGTACTTCTTAGTGAGCTTAAACATCTTTTCCTACCTTTTGGTCATTTGCATTTCTATATCTGGGAATTGTTGCCTTAATGACAGACCATGTCCTTTGACCCAGCCTGTGAGAGTTCTTGTGTTATCCAGTCTCCCTAAAACTATGGACTCTAAAACAACTCCTCAGGCAGTGGGGGCATCTGAGCTTCCCTAAGGAGGTCTCTTGCCCCAGACAGTGTCCCCTAGATTAGACGATGTCCCCTAGGGCTCTCCAATGGGCAGCCAGGAATGACAACCATCAGCAGCCTCTGAGATTTGACCCTTCTGGTGGTGTTCCTTCTTTGACTTTAAAAGGATGCCCTCCTTTTTAGTTCAACCTCACAGCCCAGGGTTGACATACCCACAGCTCTTCTTGGAAGAACTCCCGAGTTACCTTTCTTTGCCCTTGTGGCCCAACCAGACCATGTGACTAGAGCCCTTCAAATATTCCAGTGGACTGAGACCCTGGATTTTTTATTTTATGGGTAGCAGTCCACTGGATGCCCATTCTCTTACTGAATGGCATGTTGGTGTTTCCGTCATGTAGCAAGTATCAAAGAAACTTAAAGGCACCCATGTGCAGGTTTTGTGTGGAAATAAATTTTCAAATCATCATGGTAAAAAGGAGCATGATTGTTGATCCAAAGAATAAGCCTGACAACCTGACAAGCTGTGTTCCAAAGTGGTTGCATTTTTTCGTGTTTATACAGCAACATGTGAGGATTCCTCTTGCTCTACAACCTAAATTTTGGCACCAACTTTACAATCTAAACAAGGAACATGTCATAGTATTTTATGAAGCTAGTATTACTCAGACTAAAATCAGATAAATAAAGTAGAAAAAAGATCAATATAGAAGATGAACTCAGACACAAAGTAATCACTAAAACATTAAAAATCAAATCAGCAATGTAGGAAAATATGCATCCTGACTAAATAGGATGAATTCCAGGTGTGCAAGGATGGTTTGACACTAAAAATCCAATGCAACCATCTCAACAGAATAGAGAGGAAAAGTCAGTGTTCACACCATTAAAATTAAGAGTTAATTGACAAAAAACCCAAGTTCCACTTATAATAAAGTATCTTGGTAAACTAGGAACAGAGAAGAAACTTCTCTTGATTTGATAAAGAGCATCTATAAAAAACCTACAGCCAGCATCAGAGTTAGTGATGAAAAACTGAATGCTTGCCCTCTATGTCTGGAAGCATCTTCTGTTATCACTCTTATTGTAACATAGTGCTGGAAATTCCAGCCATTTGCAATAATTTAAGAAAAGAAATAAAAGTACACATTTTGAAAGTAGGAAATAAAACACCTCTATCTGCAGATGATATGACTGTTCACAAAGAACATGTTCTCCCCCCAAAAATACCTGATAGAATTACTGAGCTCATCAGGATTTCATGACATAAGACTAACTCAAGAAGGCAACTGCATTCCTTTGCGCTGTGACTCATGCACACCACGCCACGGAACCCTACAGAATGTACTGCAACTGAGGGGGACGTCGATGGAATCAGCTGAGCGAACGTGCTGTTCTCGAATTGTTACAAGTGATGTGGTTCAGCTCATGAAGCGTTCTTGAGATGACAACGTCACACAGATGCAGAATGATCAGCGGTTGGCAGTGCTGGCGAGGTTGAGAAGGAGAAAATGGCTTTGGCTGTACAAGAGCAGAGTTATCCTCGTGGGCTGTGTTCTGCAAACTGACTGTGATGGTCACGTAGTCACATGCAAGTGTTAAAACCGAATAAAAATGAATACAGATGTACATTCCAAAATGAACGCATGTA